CTTACGACGTTCATACATATACTGCTCCCAAAAACGTGTACGAGTATTTTCAGCATTCAATAATTCAGATCCAGAGTATGTTTATATTTTGTTTTTATTCTTAATTTAACTGATTACAAATAAGTTACTTATTGGTTCACTTAGGCATACCGATAAATTGTTCAGTGAGATAAATCATCTTCACACTACTTACAAAATATGCCGACCATTTGGTTCAAATGCTGTTGTGATTGTAAGTTAAATATTTTTGCTATAAATATTTACACTATTAAAAGCGTAAAATTTTGAAAAACAGTTTTACATACTATAACTTATAATCATTTAAACTAAAAATTGCATAGAAGTAAAATCCGTTTTATACTAATATATCGAATATTTAAATAATACTGGATCAAATATAGATAACATTGGTAGTGACATGTAAAACAAAATATTATTTTGCTTCCCAATTTATCTCTTAAAACTATGAAATTTAATTCCGCCAAATCCTAGAAGTTATCGTATATCTCATTTAACTCTTTTGGCATCCAAGATTTTACTTGTGATTAAATATTATTTTTTTTAATGTTTAAGTTTTTAATGTTTTTAATTTTTTTTTGTATAATTGCTACAACAAAAATTCATTTTTATATTATTTTCATTAATTGAATTTTTGGATGACCATACATCTGTTTCGAGTATTGCCAAATACACATCATCAGTGGTCTTGGAAAAAATTCTTGTATTTAAAGAATTTCATACTTCAGTTTGTTCTCAACTCACTGTTAACAGTCTTTATATAATGAATAAACCGACTAACAACTGCACTGAAGCAGTAATTTCACCACATTGCAGAAATGTGATTTAGAAATGTAATTAAATTAAATGTATATTAATATTTAACTTCCGCTTAGGAAAAATTTTAACCATTTTAACCATAAAAGGATGTAGTGAGTTTCAGTATAGAAGGACACCAATGCAAATTTTAGTAATTTTTTTAATATGTAATTTGTTATGGTTCAGTGGCCTATCTTAATGAAATGGACTATATTGTTTCATGAAAATATGCAAATCCAATAAATTGAACACATGGCTGTTGTCGATATGCAATGATGAAGCATTCTGTTTTAAGTATACTTCATCGTCATAATACTAAGTATTTTGATATTTTTCATTTTTTGATATAATATTGCCGTATTAACCAGATCAAGAAGACATATCTACTCTGATTTGCGTCATGTTCCAATAATTAGAGTCGTAACTGTTAGTCAAAACCTGATGAAATGCTAACTAAATCTCTATACAGTATAATAATCCTTCGAATATGTTTCCTCTTCAAGTGTAGATCAAAATGATCCAATAAAAGATATTATTCTTTAAATAAAAGAAGAAAATTAGTTTTTTAACCATATTGCCAGTTTGTTTAATGATATCACAATAACCTTGTCTTTTAAAATTAAGTTAGTACGGTCTGTCCGTTTGAACAGGCCACCATTAACAAAGAATTTCTTCCTTAATAAAGAAATTTATAACAAACGATCTATTAAAACCGAAATTAAATCCAAGTGGAAATATATATTATACTATATTATATAACATTATATTATATACTATAGGCCACAATAAGTCGTGTATTGAAGGCAGCCATTGTGTGCAAAGGTGTACTTATAGAATGGATAACTGTGAAGGGTTTCGACGAAACGTTAGATCCGGAAGATCTATGGACTGAATCTCGTTATGAAGTTTTTCGTAAAGTGCAAGATCATGCACATTCCGCCATGTTGCACTTCTTTTCACCTACATTACCCGATTTGGCAGTAAAAAGTTATATGGTATGTACGATAAATAAAAAAAAAATTTTCCTTTCAGAGTATAAATTGTTTTTTTTTTAGACTTGGTTAAATAGTTACAGCAAATTATTCTTAGAACCGTGTAAGCGTTGTAGTAAATACGTATCTAATGGCTTACCTCCCACCTGGCGTGATTTACGTACTTTGGAACCATTTCATGAAGAATGCAGAAATTGCTAATTAGAAACACGTTTTTCTGATTTTATTAATTAAAAATAACAATAAAACTTCTTCATTTCATATATAACAGATATTTTATTGTTTATTTATTTTCGCATATAGCATACATCAGAATACAACTTGAAACAAGTAAACAAAGGCATGATCAATATAATTGATACAATTGAATTCTGTGTAGCTTTTAGAATTGTATTGATAATGTTTTATTTACAAACAGAACGGCTCTTTTGCGCATATAAACGATCGAAGTTATCCTTTAAGGTTTTACGCAGCATTTGGATTTTTTGCTGTACCTTTTCTTCTTGACATTTAAATTCTAAGACTACTTCATTGGGAATGTAATAGTTTTCTTCATCTTCGTCGAAATATTCATCCTATAAATATATAAAAAAAAATATAATATTTAAAAAATTATTCTTATTTATGTAAATAGTATTTATTATTCTATGTTTATATTTAGTTTGAAATATAAGAATGTCGTATATCAGTTAATAATAAATAATATTTAATATAAATAAATGTTTGCGTTAACAAACATTAATGAAAAACATTAATGCTTTGAAATTTTTAACTATACATTAAATTATTTACATACATACAGTACAGTAATTTACTTTAATCATACAGTAACAGTTTGAACAAAACTAAACGTGGTAGAGAAGAATATTATTTTTCTATGAACTATTCATCTATACATCTATCATTTCAATATGTTTGCAATACATTAATAAGTCATTGGAGGCGGTAGAATATATATTCCTGATCAATTCTTAAAATTAAAGAATTGAATTAAAGTTTATAGTCTGTTCAAATAAAATTTATGTATATTATATATAATAATAATATTTACTTTATATAATGTAATATATAAACATATAATATAAACAAATTATTAGACATTTTCATAATCCAATAAAAATAATATCTGTAGGCATAGTTTAGCCAGAATTAAAAAATAATTAAATATATTTATATTAAACAGCTTATACTTATATGAACATATCATTTATATGACGCTGACATTGGGGACGTAAAACTACAGCGCCCGCTATCGTATACATGCTAAATAAAGAGAAGCCGTCTATGGAGAAGTATTTGTGTACTTGATTATTAAGTGTTTTCAATAATAATTGAATAATAATATGAAAAAATGATTGGAATTTGCAAGATTTAAATATATTTATTATATAAACTGATAACTCATATTAAGCTTCTTACACAACAACTCTTATATGAATGTAGAAAAATACATTTAAATTTTATTTATAATCGAACAGTTTTTTTTTACAATTCTAAAGATGTAGGCTTAGAAATGAACTGCGTCTTTAATTTATAGAAACTGTGGTGTTCGAATTCTTCATAACTCTATATGAACAGTTTTTTGTAGTATTTCTATATTTTGTTAATCTGTATTTTTCCAACTATTTCTACTCTTTGAAATCAATATTAACTGATTTTAATATTCATATTTATATTTTAATATAATTATGTATTAATTTCAACACTTACCACCATTTGTTGCAAGCTTAAATAACCACCGCGGCATAATAACTGTTCACTTAAATCAGTACCGCAATGCTGCAATGGCACATCATCCTCCAGTTCATGCCCATTAACATGTTCATGATTACAGAAACCCTCTGAACACGATACTTCTGAACCTTCAGGAGAAGACACTATACTCGACATACGGGAATTCTCCTGCGAATTTGGTTCGCTACCATAACCAGAATCCTTAATATCACGCCCACATGGACAATCTGGCGTCTGTATTAGACATTCAGTCCAGCACTTTTCAGTACTCACATTAATTATTAATTTATCTGGCTCCGGCGATGGTGAGGATACAGTTAGTTTTTTACAAGTATTATTAAATTGTACTTTTTGCTTTTTTTTATTTTTTTTCAGTACCAATTTAGGCATTTGTTGATTTTTACTTAAAATTGGTATAGAAGAATCGAAATTGTTTTCTTTGTCTACGGATAGTAACTCAAGTTTATCGTCATCCATATATAAAGTCTCATCTTTGATTGATTCGTTACCTATAGAAACATCATCGTCAATCAATTCATCTTCAGCCTTTGGTTCATCAGATTCCTCAAAACCACTCTCACTTTCACGACTAACATTTTTCTTTTCATCCTTCTTTTTCTTTCTTTTCAGTTTTTTAAGTTCTTTTTTATGTTCCTTTGCCTTTTCTGCACGACTTATTTCTTGATAAAGCAGTTCCAAATTGCTAATACCACGCTTTTTCTCAACAGACATATCGAAACTACGACATAAAGCATGTACGCCCACAGCCGCTAACACCTGACAGGCACGCTCCTCTTCTCTCAGACTTACATATACAAGTCTTAAACGTTCGTAAAGTATCATACCAACACAAGTTAAGACTTCCTCCTGTGCAATTTCCAATGTCTTTGCATGTCGCTCGCGTTGCTTAGAGTAACTGTAATTTAAAAAAAATATATGTAAATATATTAAATAAAATAAATATTTTCAATTTACCTTCCATTGACTTCGGGTTCGGCACGTCTTATTAATGCATCAAGAAAATCAACATTTCTAGTTGGTATATGTATGTGCTTTTCAGGATGGCACTTTTTAATATTCGCATAAAGCGCCGCGACAAATCCTTTTTCCTTTTGCGTAACTTCTCCAATGAGAAGTTTGTAGGCTTTTTCAATCTATAAAATAATTGTAATTTACACTTCCATTAATTATATTAATTCCGATAAAACATACTTTCGTGCGGCAGCCTTGACAAAACTTATGTTTCTTCAGATAATTTTCAAGCACATCATGTAATTCAACTGTATCTATTATAGCCAACTCATCGCGGCAATGATTTTTCATCATTGAGGCCCAAACCTCGCGCCAGGTTTCCGAAAATGGTTTGGTGCGAAACGTGTCCAAAGAGTGCAACACACAACGTGTTTTATTACGCAATTTATTTTCAATCAAATTATTAAGCACCTCGTGATGTCGATGCAATAAAGTGCCAAGGAACTGCGGTGTTTTTAATTTCTCTTCCGACACAGTCAAAATGCATGAATTCTTAAATACTAAAGGATCAAGCGTTGGATGACCAGAAAGAGTTAACTGATAAAAAAGTCTTTCAACTCTACGACGACAACCCACACACTGCACGCATTGATTAAGAACAGAAACAAATGTGGAACCATCAATTTCTAAAGACTCGCGAAGTTCGTCACTGCTTAGCAGCTTAAATTTTCGTTTAAACTCGTCAAGCTCCTTACCAAATATGTATGGCTTATCGAAGCAAAGACCTTTATGATTTAAATCCATAAGCATCTATAAATATACAACAACAACAAAATAATTAGTTTCATTAAGACTAATTTCATCAAAACTTTAGTTCACTAAATTGTTTAAAGAACAATATATATATTTTTTGTTATAATGTTTATTAAGACTTTAAAATGTGGGAAATGTCACGGGATTAAGACTCAGATATGCGCGAGACGAGACGAATTATTGTGATATGTTGCCATACTAAATGTTATATTAATGTATAATCGTAACTGGTAAAAATTCTACATAATTTTGAGAAATTCAATATATTCCATATATGCACCTTTGTTATAAATGTAGATAGATTTTAATGTATAGTTTTTATATTGAATTTTATGGCATCAAAGTTCATGATTTTATTTAATCACATGGCACTTACACTATTTTTGTATGCGGATTTTCAATTAGTGTATTTTTAATACAAATTTAACAATATTTTTACATATACGTATATATTTTAGAAATATTAAAAACTCTTTGTAAATTATGAAGCAAAAGAAATTACGCAAAAAGTGCGTGCTCAGTAAAAGTGAAATCAAGAATTTTATTAAATAAATTAAATTTTATATAGAGTTTATTTCTTTATCAATATACGTATAAGATCCGAACTCAAGTCAAATAGTATCGTTCACAGAAAGCACATAATAATATTAAGTTTATTGTTTATAAGAAATATTTTAAGATTTCTACAAACACATTATAACACTAATACGTGCAGAGAGGGGTGAGGCTGTTTGTATTTCGATTCACATGGCGACATACGTTAAACAAAGAATTTGTTTATAATATTGAGATATTTTAATATCTACAAATGAAATAATATTAATCTTACCATTAGATTTTCTTGAACAAGCACTGGAAGTTGTCTACGACCAATGCCTACTTCACCAGCATCGGGCCGATAGACCAAAGCAAGTCTTGCCATTTTTCCGCTTAAATATCCTCAACTCGTAACTTTGTATTATAAAAATATTTTATTTATCGGTTTGATTTTTAACCTGATTAGCTTAATAATCTTCTTTTTTCTTTATATTTTAATAATTTATTAGTAGAAATTTTTCCACACACGTAGTAAATTCGCCATTAAAAAATCGAAGTGCTACCAAATCGCGCACATCCCATATATTTATAAAATCTTCTTCTTCTTCCCTAAAATAGTAATTGCGAATAAATTCGAATAAGCTTAAAATAGTGAAGGATACTTTAATTGTAGTTCTTTACGTATACCGTACGCAATGTATGTAATATATGTATTTATAAAAAATGTTAAAACTTTTTGCCGTTTTTAAATATTTAATTTTTATAAATGTATTTTTTTTTATTTTTAGTAATATAATAGTTCAGTAACATTTTATTTCAATTTTGGCTATGAGTTTACGAAAATGACAGGTAAAATCGGACACCAAATACAAATATATATTTCTAACCTTAGGGATAATTTCAAATAATACTTGTTTTTTATAATACAATGCTTCTAAACAATTGTAATAAATAATTTTATATATACAAGACAAAATCATATTATAACTATTTAATTCAATTTGGGGCGCAACAAGTTTTTATGTTTATCGTAATATTAATTAGAGATAACAATATGATTAAGAACAACTGTTTAACCTTATTTGCTACTTAATACACGCTTGTAATATTTATTATAAACAATACTCTTATTATAAATACATAAGAATACTCACGAAAGTCAAAATTTACTTAACTCAAAATGATAAACAAAACTAATATAAAAAAAATTTATGTGTTTAGCACGTGTGTGAGTTTGGTTAAATTGCCTTCTAAATAAGGGAAATTCTAAGTTGTGCTATGTAAAAAATCCCAAAAAATCTCCCATTTGGTTTAGCATCAACTTAGCCTACCTCGCACACGTCCTTAAATTCAATTATTAAAATGAATAAAATTGTTCACTTATGATGCAAATTTTACACCAAAAATAAACAGAGTTAAATGAGCTCCAGAGTTAAGTAATTTATAACTTTTAAATGTAGAGTTCACAGTCAACTGTGTTTGCTGCTTAAATTTAATCAATGAAAATTAACGATAAAAAAAATTCGCTTGTTATTAAAATTAAACGATTTCAGTAATTAAAAACTCTGAACAACTTTTTGAATAATTTGAGTCCTTTGATTGGTGTTTAGTAAATATGATGAAAGATATGTCAGAAATATTTGTAATGTTGCTATTTTATGAAAATATGGCAACGAATATTTCAATAGGCCTCTTTACTTCTTTTAATTAGCAGGTTAAGCTCGTGCTAAAATGCTAATGTTACATTGCTCAATAAAACAATTGTTAACGTGTATCTTGTGATTAGCATAACTCACTAAAACTTTAGAAACCACACGAAAAAATATTCCTGCGTCTACACTACTTATATTGTATACACCTCTCATTTTTATATACCTCTCAGTTTTTCACTGACACAAATTTTTGTTCACAAACAAAATTCGAAAATAATACTCATTTGCATTTGAATATAAAAATCTTGCCAAATTTTATTCAGTGCAGATGCCGAGTAAATTTTTAACATCTGATGCGACAGTACGAAATAAACAATTTATATGTTCTGTGGCAATACTCAGATCAATTAGTACAAGTTTAGCATGTTAAATACAAACCGTAAATAGCACTTATATATATATACACAATGTATCATTACGTTATTCAGTACGCATTAAATATATATGCCCACTGTTCTGCAGAATGAAATTTCAGGTTTACGCTATTGTGACTTTACACTTTTGTCTGTTGCAAATATTTATACATTATTTTCAGAAAGGAAGAGTATTTAAGGATTATATGTAAACAGTTATATTAATTATGTTGGAACTGAATTAATTCAAGACTCTAGTGATTAAATTAATAAAAATATATCATATATAATTTAATTCATATCATAATTTTTGAAAGTGATGTTCCTTGTTTCTAATTGAGGCATCACATACATACATTATTAATATTATTAAACTGCAAATTATTGTTGATATTAAAAATGAAACCGTCCAAAAATCGTGCTGGGCGCTTATCAAGTTTAGCAGAGGATATGGATGTGCCATTTCGTTCCCGATTGCATATGCTATTTGCACAAATTGAGAAAGAGTTCGAGCTGCTGTACATTGAAAATTTAAACTGTATGTTACGCATATAAATAAATTGTTATTTATTATACTATATTTTATTATAGTGCAGGACAAATTAGAAAACTGTACCAACAAGGACTCTAATATTTCATGTGAACGTTCTGGTGCCAGCATTAATGTTGGAGGAACTTGTGCAGCAGCGGCGATGATTGTTCCTACTGCTTCTAGCCATGATGACGTTGAATCTGCTACTGGTTCTAAAAGTCTCAAAGCAAAATTAACTGCGACGGGAAATAAAGTAAAGGCGAGTCATAAAATTAAAGCGCAAACAAGTCGCATTGTATCAAGTTTCAAGCCAAATCAATCGGTTGTCAGCACAACAGTGCGTGAATTTTGTGGCCATAAAGATGGAGTGTGGCATGTAGCAGCTAAAGTTGGACAACCAATAATCGGTACCGCATCAGCTGATCATACAGCTTGTATTTGGAGCATAGAAAGTGGTCGTTGCCTTTTACAATATCAAGGACATGCTGGTTCAGTGAATTCAATTAAATTCCATCAAAATCGAGATTTAGTGCTAACTGGCAGTGGAGATGGTACAGCACATATTTGGCAAGCAGCAGTCAACTGGGAGATTTCAAAGTATGTAAATTAAATGAAACAAATTTAGAAGTATATACGCTATTAAATAAATTAATTCTAATTACATTCGATATTTAAACGATTCATTGTTTTGTTAAGGAAAGGACATTCATCTGAAGAAGAATTGGACGATAGCGAAGAACAAGTAGAAGATCGAGATCGTTTGGATACATTACGCACACCAGTATGTGAGTTTGCAGGACCTGGCGGTCATACATCGGTCGTTGTTGCTGCTGACTGGTTACCTAATTTAGACCAAATCATTACCGGTAGTTGGGACCGCACTGCTATACTTTGGGACGTTGAAACTCGTGAACCATTGCAACCACTTACAGGACATGACCATGAACTAACTCATGTTTCTTCACATCCCACGCAAAGGTTAGTGGTAACTGCGTCACGAGATTCAACATTTCGCTTATGGGATTTCAGAGATTCTATACCAGCTGTCTCTGTTTTCCAGGGACACACAGAGTAATATCAAATTTAAGAAAGAAAAAATGAAAATTATGTAAACTTATTTTTATCTATAAAAAATAGAAGTGTGACTTCGACAGTATTTACAAGAGATGATAAAGTTGTTTCGGGCTCTGATGATCGAACAGTAAAAGTGTGGGAGTTGCGTAATATGAGATCGGCACTTGTTACTATACGTACAGATGATTCAGTCAACCGTTTGGCGATATCAACAGGTGGCATTATAGCTATTCCACATGATAACAGACAAATAAGGTTGTTCGACTTAAATGGTCAACGTATAGCGCGTTTACCTAGAACGAGCAGACAAGTAAGTAATTTTATAAAATTAATTTAATTATTAATATAAATAAAATCTGTAAATTTTTAGGGTCATAGACGTATGGTATCAGCCGTTGCATGGGCTGAAGAACCCCTGCTTAATTGTGACCTATTTTCTTGCGGTTTTGACAGGCGCGTATATGGCTGGTCTATTATAATACCAAAAGACAATTAAAATTTGATATTGAACAAAGTATTAGAAAAATATCGTCCCCTTGAATATCACGTTAAAAATAATTTATAAGGTGTTTTAATAGTATTAAAAGATTTGTTGATGTTAACACATAGAATCATTTAGAAGAATTCTTACATATTATTTATAACATATTTTATTAATTATAAAAGTTAATTTGTTACACTTATTGAAACAGAATTTTGTTGATAAATAAGATAAGTTTTTTGATTACCACAGCGTTTTGTCAAAAAACTTATTGTAATTTAGTCGTAATAACAATTATTTATAAATCAGATTATATTTAATTCGTTGTTAGCGGAATGAACAATTTGTTATTAAAAACCCGTAAAATAAATACTCTTTAATAGGTAAAGAAAAATTATAAAAAAAATTTGATCACACTTAGAGTATATACAACAATATTGATATTTTCACCTTATTATTGGTGCTTAAATCCAAATTGAGAATTTATGAATATAATTTATAATATTTTTAATGCCAAATATTTTTCCTTTTCGTAATTTAGTGTTTCAATGTTTAATTTTGTTCACACACACGTAATTTAGTATAAGGGTAAAATTATATATCGAATAACTTTTAGTAATTTTATTTATTAAAAACTGTCATAAAGTTATAAAATATTCAATATATATATACACATATATATATAAATATACACACTCATATAAAATACTATAAATACATATTTACGTTTAACATAGTTAAATAAAGAATATATGATTCTTTTAAAAATATACACAAATATACATTTTAAATTTATTTACATTAACGAGCTAGACTGCTATGAATTATTTGAAAACATGAAGTTTTATCAATATTAAACCAATTAAAATGGCTATTTCAATAATGATTATTAATATAAGATAAATTTTGTTTATAACAAATTGACGCCGTATACGCCTAATAATGGCACGTGATTTGGACAAGTCATCATTGGCATTTTGTAAACGACGCGTGGAACGTAGTAAAGATTCACGTTGTTCACTTAATTCAGAAAGAACCTGGAATATAAGAATTTAGTTTAGTTGAAAATACCAAAATATATATACACAGTTATGATAGAATTTAGAGCTAATATCACAAAGTTTTTAGTCCCCAAAATAATTGTCTATTTGAGAAATATAAAAGTTACTAAAAACTTTTTTTATTTTTAGTGTACATGAACGAAAACAGAAAAAAAGCCAATTGATAAATAAATCGTAAAAATAAAGTATGTATGGTTGGGACACACTACGCAAACCCTTCAGTGAAATCGCACATGCTTCTCGCTCAAAGGCTGCGTGTAGAAGGACAATCAACAGAGAGTCGGGCAAATCTTTCAGTGAACTAAGAGCTATAGCGCGTGTTAGAAATAATTGGAAATCTTTTGTGATTAGACTAAGTTCTTGAATTTATATTTTTAAACATGTCAATAATAATAATAATAATATAAACACATGAATGAACATAATTTTATAAAAAATTAAAATAATATAATCTCCACGAATTTTACTTATAGGATGATCAATAGAAAAGCTTTTAAAAGAAATCAGAGGCACTAAAAATTTATAATAAGGGGAATAATTATTATTCTTTGATCAATATGTATACAATGTAACATATATAGTTACATATATATATATCTGAAACATCAGATGGCGTTCTGTTATAAGGCATTCATACAAGAGCGATTCAAAAGGTCAATAAAAAACTAGCGTCAAAAGCAGAATTGCGAAAATGATAGAAGAAATAAATAAAATCGAATAGTTACACCTTGTAAGTCACTGGCTGAAGTTGGAAGAAGTTAAACAATTGAAAAGGGATAGAGAGGTGTGGTCGAAGAGAACTCAACAAAATAGTAACGGAAACTTAGAAGATTAATGTATGAAAGAAACAATAAATTTTTGTTATATATATATAATTGAATAACTAATACAGATAATAACAAATTGTAAATACAAACATTGTTGTACTACTTATAAGGATCTTGCCGAGTAGGTAAACCAGCCTTAAAATAGGTTAATTTAAACAGGATTCAAAAATTTCGACAACAAATAATATTATCATATGCAAAAACGAACCTATAAGGTTGACTATTTATTTTGTTGACTAGGTATACCGGCCTTAACACGGAAAAGATATAAACAAAATACAGGAATTTCGAAACAAATAATATCATATGCCATAACGGATATATGAGACAAAGCGAAAGTTTTAAATCAGAACAGTTGACATCGGACACCTCGTGTTCATAGTCGAATGAAACACTCTATTTGGACTTTCACAATACACGTACGTCCAACTTAATTAAAAAAAAAGTAAAGTTTTCGCATAAACATGCGGGTATATGGAGAAACAATCACAACTTCGCACAAAACAGTACATACATACAACCTACACTCTATATAAGTTCTAAGAACGGGTCTATGTCCCGCAGCCACTTTTCAATAACGACGTTCAAATGCCTTTCAACGCCTGCCAAAGAGGCAAATCAAGCAGATCCTAGCGGGTTACAAAAACACTATATATAATATAATATTTTTTTATTATACTATATTTAATATAAAAGCAAGAATAAAGCTAATTTTTTTCTAAATAAAACAATATTCTAAACAGCATTTCTAAATAAATTCAATTCGGAATAAATTAATTGGCTCTTTAAATCTTGACACCAATTCTAGTAAAGTATATGGTTTGTAGAAAATCGTTCATTCATTAATTTAATTATGAAACTCCTCACAAATATATTTCAATTAATGTCATAATATTAATTTAAGTTCATTACAAACCTCAGTGCCCAATTCCTCTGACTCTATAGCAAATTGATTGGAACGCTGAAGGCTGGCGCTTGTTCTTTCCAAAACATCGTATGTGTTTTCAATCAACTGTTCTTGTTGCTGTATTGCCTGATTATCATGTTGTGCCGGAACATTTTGCCAATAAGACATATTAAACTAAATTATGCTTTTTTATCAACTGTATAAAAATAAATGCGCACACAAAAATATTCATTTAATGTCAATCAGCTGTTCGAAGAAAACACAAAGACCGTTATTCACAATAGAAAATCATATGTAAAAATTTTATTAACAAATACAAAAACAAGTACAGAAGTAAATAAAAACAACAGTAAATTCATTCAGCAGAAAAAGCGTATGATGTTTCATTGCTTTTCATCAGTTTTGTTGCATTTTCGGTGCCGAGTATATTATTTAGCTGTAGGGTATCGTATTTTGTGTATAACACAGTTATACTCATGGATCCTTCCAATCCGTCACGAGAGTTTTGATTGCTTCTATGCATCAAATTAATTACTTCGGAGTAGAAATTTGGCCATATTGGCGGTTGATACATGATAAGATGACGTATGCCTTTGATACGAGTGCGTCGAAAGAAATGCGATCTTTCCGAATAGAGTAGGAAGTGTGCACCACTATGGTAGAACATATCACGGGAACGTGCTATTTTTGCGTCCTTGGTGTACTCACAAATTTGTACAAATGATACCGTTTCCGACTTAAAATAATTGCGCAAACGTACATAATCGAAGTAGCTTGGCACATATATCATACAATGTGCATGAGACGGATTCCGATAGCGTGGCAATATTTCATTTATAAAATAATCAAATCGTTTATCAAATGAACTTTCCAAACTGTTGACATCTACACGATGAAATATTTGTGGAATATTAATTATAACATTACTTATACTGCCAGAAATGACTGGATTTGTTACGCGTATTTTGCCCTGGTAGTTTGTACATTTATGATTGAAAATGCTACGAAATTCTGGAAGATCGTGTGAAGTTAGTAGCACTGTTTGTCGGTAAAAATTTGAATATCCATTTAAACACCAAGGCCGTACTCGTTGAAAATCAGTATTATGCAAAGATTTTAAAGGTAAATGCATATGTTCCATTACATGCAGTAAATTTTCCCAATTTTGTGCGAGTATTAATTCCGCTTGATCAATTATCAACATTTCAATTGAGTTAAGAAAATCATAATCCCGTTCAGGAGTGCCTGCAGCACCTACAATCATGCGAAGACCTAGCGGAGATGCAATCAAAATGTCTGATGCATAGAATTCGGTGTAAAGCTTTAAACACTTTTTCGTAATAGTTATCCCAATCCGAAAATTGTCATCTGTATTGCCACTAAAGGTTTTAACATAATCTTCAGGTTTAGGATTCGTTTTGGGAAAGCTTATAGTGTTACCCGTATATTCCTGAACAAACCTTTCGTAGTTTATAACTGACTTGCTTTTATCTCCAGTTTCGCCAAGTAAAAGTGTAGTTAAAGTATTTACAATGCCAAATGCCGTTTCGCGGAAAGGTACAATGAATAGTATTTTTGGACGC